GGGGGGGGGGGGGGGGTGGAATGGGATGGGGTGCCCCCATGTAAAAGCAAAGGTGAGCCAGCTGTTAAGTTATAAATTAGTTTTAGCCAATGGAAAGTGCAAGTTTGGTCATGCTATCAAGAGCATAATTTAGCCATTCTAGCTTTGTTTGTTATTAATTCTTGTGCTTAAAAAGACCCTGATGTCAACTTCTTATGTGTCACTGGCCACATATAACTTATAGAACATGTTAAGAGTTTTTATGCCAGTTGACTATCTTGGACTTGGTCTTGCATATCCTCTTTTAATGTGATGTTAAGGAATACCTGTGTGTTTTTTTCTGGGACTGACATAAGGAACTGACTGCCTTCTTCAAGATGATGATTGGGGTATTTTCCCTACAACTTCAGTCCTTGGGTACAGGGCTACTTTTACAGCCTTCTTAGCATCACTACTCATCATTATGTTCCTACATCCAGCAGGAACTAAATAATCTAAAGGGCCTTTCATCTGCATTAAATATGCTGATCATTTCCTTTCATGGGCTCATGTACCGTTTCTGAGCAGCTTCAGTATTGTCATGAAGATGGTTGCCTGACAGGTCTTCAGAATTCTTATGTTTGAAATAAATGAATGTCTTCAAAATCCAATAGCTTGCGTGAGCTCTCAAGACCTGCCTGTACACATTGGAGTAGCATTAGGTTTAATTGTTGAGACTCTGATGGCTCTGTCATCATCTTTGATCAGTTTGTTGTTCTCCTCATGAGACCAGTCATCAGAAATCGCAGGAAACACTTTCTCTCTTCTGCTGCTAGTGAAACAGTCACATGCAAATGCAGAAAAGGTATCAGAATGCTTCTCTGGAAGTATCTGAAGTATGTAAACAAACACTGGTAACCAGAGAGTGTAATCTATGGCATCCAAAGAAAATGTCCACAGGCATAACTGCTTAAGTGTATCCACATACATTACAAAGTTGAATGCACAATCTGATCTGTAGAAGGGACTCCAGTTTAATTACAGTATTCCAGTACTGAAACTGTGCTGATCGGCTTTCCCCCCACTTTGTCCATTCTTTCATGGCATCAGCATCAATAATGAAAGTGCATCACAGTGTTTCCAATTATGCTTGGGTTTGCAGGAAGTGTAAGGCAGCAAAAGACACCATATGAGTACCCCTTGACCTTTTGACATTGGAACCCATAAAATGCATTGTGTTTGCATTTATTTATTTATTTATATCCCACCCAGTTTGGTGTAGTGGTTAAGTGTGCGGAATCTAATCTGGGAGAACCGGGTTTGGTTCCCCACTCCTCCACTTGCACCTGCTGATGTGACCTTGGGTCAGTCACAAGCTCTGGCAAAGCTGTTCCTGAAAGAGCAGTTTGTGTCAGAGTTCTCTCAGCCCCACCCACCTCACAGGGTGTCTGTTGTGGGGAGGGGAAGGAGTTTGTAAGCCGCTCTGAGACTCCAAGTGAAGGGCGGGGTATAAATCCAATCTATTCTCTTCATCTTCTTCTTTTCTCCCACAATTGGGACCCAAGGCGGTAAAATTTGTCAACACCAGCGCTTACCACACCAACAGTCCATCCCCTAGCATCAGTCATTTGCTAAGTAAATTTACGACCAGCATTTCAATATAAAGGGCTACCATTATGAACACAACTTGTTGCTCACTGTACTTATGAGGCAACTCCCATTATAGTTGTTTTCCTCTTGTGCACACAAGCAGGTCAGCAGTTATGACTGGTTTCTTTTTTAAAATTTGAATATTGCATTTGTGAGAACGTTGATCGTATGTGACACCGTTGCAAGGGAAGAAATTTCATTGAAGTAGAAGTAAAACAGGTTGCCGTTTCTGTTTTGCAGCACCTACTGAACTGTGAGCACGAACTATGACAAAAGACATCCCATCCTCCCCTTCCTCCAGCCAGCACGTGACCATTGTTCTTTCTATTATACCTAGCCAAGGAGAGAGATAAGGACTGAAAATCAATGCATGATTGTAGTAGCATCAATTATAGGTACTGGTGGATCAGCTACTACTTACCCACATGCAAGAACATTGGTATATGATTTGGGTTGGTGGTCATTTACATCCCATTGCCAGTGTTTGATGTCTATGGATCAATTTCTTTCAATTCCTGAACGGTGGGTACTGGAGGAAAGTAATGATCCATGAAAAGAGTTGACTGCAATTGATGATGACTCATTTAGTGTTCTTGATAACAGTAGTGATGAACACAGAGGAACCAACCTTCAGCACACAGACATCAGCTTGTGTATTTGTAAATGCTGTTAACACTTCTTGTACTCTGTTGTTATGAAATACTCAATCCAAACTTATACAATTTATCCACTTTTTTTCGTAGTGAGGTCTGTATCAGTGAGGTCTGTACCACAAACAATGGAAGTGCATTTTTCCTGTCAAGGAAGTGATTCTTTCATGATTGGGGCCTTTTGTCCCTTTCACAGTGGTGAACCAAATCAGTTGAGCAATAGATAATTCAGCAGTCTGTTCTATGTTTGCAACTTGTTCAGAAAATGTTGGGACTCAATTTACGCAAATTTTAATAGTGCTGCCTCTACAAAATTATAAGTAGTGAAATCTTAACTGAAGGAAACGTCAAATCTTAGGAATTCAGGTCTCTTCACAAAATAGCAACCTCTTGTCCCAAGTTCATACTATCCGAGAAGTGATTGAATGCAGAGCCATCTTTAATTGTGTCACCAAAATCTTCTCAAAGATTAGAATGATTTCTCAATCTCCTTTGTGAGGAGTTCAGGGACCAATGAAATTAGATATTTCTTCAGATGGATCCTGCTGATTTCTTTTACTTAAGTCGGTATCCCCATCTCCCATTCACTTAGAAACTACCTTTGCAAAACTGGCTGCCTTAAAAACAGGTGACACTTTGCTGCAGATACATGATTTGTTCAATACTGATGGCTTTTTCATCATAGTTACATTTATGTGAGAGAATGTGTACAATGCTTTTTGTGGGTTCTAAATCAACCAAATCTGTGACAAGCCTTTTAAGCAGTGCATCATCATGTAGCCTTACAAGACTATGGATAGGCCCAGTGCCCAAATCTGATATTTATACCGAAGTTTCCTTCCCCGTTATCACAGACCAGCACAATTTTTTTCATATGAAGATTACTCCAAGGCAATCAGGCTGATTTTGAACTTGGTTTTAATGTCTCAGGTCTGCCAAAATGCTATTTTCTATCCAACTTTCTAATCTTTGGAGTGTTATTCTTGTACATTTTATAGTACTTTGACAATTGCTTCACTAATGAATGAAGTACGCCACTTTCATCACTGAAGCAAGCCATACTTTGTATTTATTTTGACAAACACTGTGCTCTGCAATGGTAGCCAATGTGATGGCATTTCTTTTGTGATGTAATTTATTTCAGATCTGCAACACACGAAAAGCAAAAGTGTTTGGTATTAGAGAGGCTTTTATCTGGGAGAATGCTCCAGAACACAGTTCTGGAACCTCTTTGACAAAATTCTTTTTAGAATGTTTAAAAGTTCATGAGTTTTCAGTATACAGACTGAAAACTTCATTTCCCTCTTGAGAGTTCTGCACCTTTTTTTTTTTAAGCCCTTCTATTACCTACTATTATAAATTAGCCATTTGAGGAAAAGTATACTGTGGGCTTTCAAAGGGGAACACAACACATCCCATGGGATCCCATCCCCCCCCCCCCACTACTGCTATACCTTTGAATAGAAACATTTTTTGGAGTAGACACTGAATATATCCTGAAAGCTAGTATAGTGTACAGGCACATCATTTTGCCTATACAAATTTGATATGATGTATACTGGCTCCTAGAGGACAGAAAATTTGTGTTAAATTGGGGGGAGGGGCTCAATTATGATCATAATTATCTGATTATATGAAAACAATACCGCTTGTTGCTTGCCCTGTTCCTCTTCATCACTATACGTTCTCTTACCTTCAACAGCCATACAGTTTTCTACCCACCTGGGAGAACAGACGTCACATAACTCTCTCCCCAGCTAAGCAGCCAGTTTACCCAGTCCCAAGGTACAATCAGCAGGCATTTGATTCAGCAACAATGCTGAAGCTAGCAGGTCTGGATCTGGTCAGTGCCTAGATGGGAGACATCCTAGGAATCCTGTTTACAACTTTCTGTTCCACAAAGCAAGAAACATAGCATATAAATGTAATAATCTAGTGGTAAATGTATGTGGCTACATTCCCTCATTACTCATGCCATTCTCAGCCCAAAACTGGTGGCTGGTATTTTGCAATCTCCTGCCTGCTTCTAAAAGTACTCCCTCTTCCAGCAGGTACCATATGCTAAGGTTTGCAGCAGAGACAGCACCCCATCTTGGGTTCCCCATGTCCTCCTCCTCTGTGTGAAAGTTCACATAAAGTGGCATCTTGGATCTACTGTCCCCTGAGGTCTTATTTGGAAGTCTGGTCTCCAGTACCCTTTAAATCAGAAATGCATCCAAAGGTGACAGCGAGGCTTGTTGGCTTGT